TCCACTTTCAGACTGCTCAAGTTTTTTTTATAACGGATGGTTTTTAAAAAATAAAACGTTTATATGATAGAGAATTTTATTTTCTACAAAATGGTTACAATTTGTTCAGTCAAAATGCAATGAATCACCCCTCAAAGCGGTCCTTTTCCGATATACCATCGGTATAAATTTTGCTCATTGCGGCGCTCAGTCACACGTTGACCTGCGATTGCGCATGCTCTTCGCTGACTCCGCCCCTGCGCTCAGACGCGTTTTTATGGCGAAGTGCGACGACGCCGGACAAACGTCGTGCTGACAGTTGTCGCTTGGTCATATGTCGTAGGCCCAGATAGGTGGATGTCTTTATGACGTATTGGATGCATGAGTTTAGGGAATCTTAATCGAAACAATGGCATCTGGTAAAATTGGAGGAAAGTACGAAAAAAGGACAGCTGAGGATTTCATCAGTGGGCACGTTCCGATGGATGACAGGAATGTTGAAGGAATCGATGAGTGTATTTCGGAACTTGAGCAAGAATTGAACACTGGTGATTTACTGTGAATGCTGTTATTGTATTATTGTTTCGATTGTCATACCCTTTAATATGGTGTTCTTTAATTGTTCTCGTTCATTTTATATTCACACGTTGGTAATTCCACAAAATATTTACAGCTTTGTCAGACGTTGCTCATCTCGTTGATCGAAGCTATCAGAAATTCGTGCCTGAAATATTGGCCGAAAATAAATTGCTGAATAAGCTGAATGATGTGATGAGAAGTGCGGAAAGTTCAGAAAATGAGATCCGTCAACGCATAGCAGCAATCGAAAAAGACATTCAAGATTATAAGGTTGTTGAAATTTTTCGCTCACTTTCATTAAGTGGCGAAGAAAATATTCAGAAATAATATCTGAGCCGTTCTTTGATAACACGATGATATTTTTTACAAGGACTTATTTTTGTTTTCGTTTAGTTGAAGATAAATACAGGAGAGGTTCATCAATCACGGGATTGACAATCGCAGTCAAAATCGGATCTCTTGTCAACGTTTTAATCAAAATCTTTCATTCAGACCAACTGACTATGAAATTTGATCATCTCCTTTGGCACATTCATTCGTGTCGATTCATTTGTTGTTCACAGTGAATAGTTGTCGTCATATTTGATTGCAAGACAGTTTCAGGCTAAAGGTTTTCTGTTACGTTTATCGCATTTGAGAGAGTGCAAAGAGACAATAGCCGTGCTCGAGGATATCGAACAAAATTTCGTTCGTCTTCTGCACACGCCAGTTGAAGCCGACGAAGACAGTGCACTTGTGAACGCTCGGCTGATTGCCGATACCGAGCAACGTATTGATAGCATCAATAAGGTAGGATGGTCATCATTCGTTATTGTATAGTTGACGGTTTCAGTAATCGAAAATGCTATTCAAAATCAGGCTTAACACCGGCTCATACGAGTGAAGTCGAGTGAGTATTAAGCAAACAAACGAAGCCATGTGTTCAGTCTCTCATAACAGCCCACTTCAATATCATTTGGTCACTTTTTCAATTGATAATGAAGTAAATAGAGGTAGTTTTCAGAATGAAGCTGATATCGAAGGTGTGGTAATGGATCGTATCTATCCAGTGTTGCAAGAACAACTGGAAACAATGAAGGCATCATTGGCCGTTTACTTAACGAATTTCTTCGAGAATCTATTCGAAATGAGTAGCGATGAATCTACAAATTTGCGTGTTCTTAAAGTTGCTTGTGAACATCCATCGAAAGTTTCAAAGGTCTAGCTCATCCTCTCATCGACCCTAATCTTTCGGCAGTTGTTTGTTTCCTCGTTTTCCAGTTTCGACTTATGCAATATGTTGATGGGTATTCGAACCATCCCATTTTATCTAATCTTGATCCGTCTCATCTGGAAAATAATTTTTACTCGCAAATTTTTAATGTTTTATGTGAATTCACGATCATTCAAGAGAAAGTTCATTGGTTGTCGTTGAGGCTTTTTTTAGCGATTCTTTAGCACAATTCACAGAACTGTTGAAAATGGTTTGAGAATGAAAGTAGTCTGATGACGATGCTCAGTGATGGTCATTATCATTTATAGCATTTATCCGCAATGCAAACGTTAGGACTATTGGACAGTGCATTGGCAAGACTTTGTACATGGATACTGAGAGATATGTGTGCATATATAATCAGATCCAAAACACCTGAAGATGTGTTCTCGCTAAATGAGTCTGTTGGAGCGATAGTTGGTAAACGCGAATATCGAATCAGAACTGATCTGCCGACTGCTGAAGCGCTGAAGAAACCCAATCCTACAGCAACTTTCGAGTAAGATTTACTCTCATTCGATCAACTCAAAGTTTGTAATCATGCCATATTTCGATCAGTTTATACGCAACAATGAGTAACTTTGTTTAGTTGAATCAATATTTACTTGTTACTTTTGAGGACGTTGGCGAAATTCTTCGAATCGTTAAGCGATGATTGTAAAGGTGTATCAATAAACGATGTGTCGTTGATTGGAATGATCGGGAAGAAGATATGCGCCGAATTGGTCGATATGCTCGTTAAAGAATGCTTAACACCAGCCGTTCCGTACAGCAACGATGAACGATCTGATTTTGAAGTTTTATTGAACGAAGCTGATGATCTTCACAAACATTTGATCGTTTGTTCTTTGTTTTTTCTTCGAGATATCTGTGGATTCTTCAAAATATCGCTTGCTGTCATATGATAATTAGCAATAATAATGATCTGATTTTGAATAGTGAGGATTAATTTGTATCTCTTTCTGTTTCCAAATGATTTAAATAATAAATTTGAGAGGATAGAATTGATGCTGATGAATGTTCAATGAGGAACCTAATGAATACTGTCTTTCTGAAGTATTATCTTGAGTGGCCAGTACGGGATAGGAAAGTAAACTAAGAATTGCTAGCGTAACTGCAATACTGTGATTGTTATTTTAACGATTGATGTCATCTGCTTTTTGATTGTTATCATTTTTCTTATGGCACATAATCATCTTCAATACTTTTCTAGCAGCTGGGTTTATTCACTGCGGATTCAGTGACGTTCAAACAGTTCGCAGATAGTTATAATACGGTCTTTATCAATCGACGGTGTACCGCATTCATTCAAAAAGCACGATCACTGATCAATGCCCCGTTTGTACCTCTCGTTGATGTTGGTTTTGCGTTGAACATTTATTTTTTTCAAATTACTCTTCAAGGACAGTTTCGATTCACGTCTTTCATACGTACCGATTAAATTTTGTCGATTTTGAAAGTGCTTGAAATAACTTACCCAGTCAAAATATAGTTTTCGAATGCATGAGATAGTGTTGAGAATGTTTCGTAGTATCGGCGAAAATAATGATATTGGTGTGATGATGTAATAATATTATTATCATACAATAACTTTTATCATAAAATAATTGGGTAATTACCTAATGTTAATGGTGTGGCGGTATATTGGTGTATCGATTATTTTTACTATATAGAACCACAGTTCAGCTTGTGGCTTCGGAATCGGTTGCATTCAAGCAGATGATGAGCCAGTCGATCTGAATAGATCAGATTAAGACGGTGCGGACAATGGATTGGTTGAAACGGGTTGTTTTCCAACAGCAAAACATTTGAATATTTTAAGGTGGGCAGTGGAGAGCTGGAAAAGCGACAGGCAACAGAAGCGTTCAAGAAGGCGAATTCGTTTGTTGGCAAAACTTTCACTTCAGAGCATTGTCCATCGCTAATGCAATTTATGCGCTGCAAAATTAGGTCACTTATGGAACATGATCTCATCTTTTCATTTTCCTTTATGGAAATTTGTTTTTATTTTTTTAGGTTTTCACGAGTTTAAGAAGGACATTCATCTGTTATTGCTGATCAGAAAAGGAACAAAATAGCGTTCATCTAAGAAGGTCGTAGTATTTGAATAAATGTGTTTGAATCGGTCAATTGCAGTGATTCATGTTCGAAACTGTGGGATATCATCGAAGAGTGTTTGAGAGAAGCAGCCAACGCAGATTCGGATGTTGCTGCCGGTCGTTTATTTCAGACAGCACTCAATATGGTTCAACTTTATGTGCTCATCGCTCCAAGGCAACACGAGGCACAACTTTCGTCAGTACCTCTTATGACTGGTTGGTTCCTAGTTGAACGTCTTATGGCCCCTTATGATGTTCTTTTCAGAACTGTTCTCTCTTAAGTTCCGGTAGTTTTTCAAGAAACCAGATCTTCTTCATATTGTTTCAGATGCCAATGTTGTATTGAAATGAATACATTGTCAAATTTTACGAGTGCTTTTTCATAGAATCATATCAGTTGTTTGTCGTTTTTTTTTTCAGCCGTTTTCTACAACAATTGTCATTACTTAACGCATTGTCTAATGGGCGCATCTATTGATTTACATCCAGCCATTGTGAAAGCAATGAATGTGAGTGTTTCGTTTCTCTTCTTCTGTGAACTATTATGAATTGCTCGCAATTATAAATTGTTGGATATCGTGTAAGATTGATTCATATGTGAATCTAGGGTGTATCGTGTGGAATATCTCTAATAGAATCAGTTCCACGCTTGCGAAAAGTTGCTGCCGAGTTGATGGAATGTCAATTGGCGCAGTGCAGACGTCAAATATCCACTATCCTCAGCGATGATCAAAGTTGGTTTCCGTGTTTTGTCGGACTCACGTCCGATAATTTTACTTTGTTTTGTAATAACTTGAAATCTCAGCCGACCGTTTGGAGCGAATTCAAACAAAGAAAAAGTTCTCTTGAAGTTATGAGAATGCATTGTAAATGAAAGTGGTGTGTTTTCAGTGTTCATTGGGCTGCATCAAAATGAACGTTTGAATATGTGTGAAAAAACACTCGACGGTTGTTTCATGCATCTGAAGCAAATTGCGACGGTGTGGCGAGAGGTATACTCATATGAATATGTGTTTCGTTGAAGTGAATGTTTGAAATTCGACGTTTCATATGTATCAATTGTCGCGGTGCCCTAAAGTTGTTCTGAAGAGGTAATTGATTCACTCGTTCCAGGTATTAACCGAAACAGTTTATGGTAATTCAGTGGGAGATTTGGTGTCATATATGCTGACGACGATCAACCAGTTTGTGCTGAAAACTGAAGATATTCGCGCATCAGATTCGCAAATTATGGTTTACAAAATGCAGCAATTGTTGAAGAATGTTGAAGGATTGTTCACTGTAAGCGTTGACTGAATTGTTGTCAACACTTCGGTTTATTGTTCGGCCGATTGTAGTCAGTGTTTGTTTCAGTTTGGTAATGACAAACGCTCGTCATCAATTCATCGTTTCACGGAAAATTCTTACTATCGTACCAAAGAAATCATTTTCTGTCTGGATGCAAGTTTAGAGGTTCGTTTTGTTGCGCAGATTATTTATCTCTGAATTGATGTCGGTTATTGACAGTCGAATTGCTTTGTTTCAGTTTAGGAATGCTAGTGAAGCCTTAATAGTGATGAGGAACGACCATGTTGAGTAAATGAGATCGTTTTCTCGTATTGTTTGAAACGAATCGGAGAAGTGTCCAATTTTGATAAAATCGTTTCTATGAATCTGTTGAGTAGGAATTGAATTTAAACTGTGTTCAGGATTTGAGTGATCGATGGTGTAATGGAAAGGGACCAATGGCGCAATGGTTGAGCGCAGTTGAGGTTCGTGGTTTGATCAAGGCTCTTTTTCAGAACACAGCAAAACGATCGAAAATCCTCGCCACAATCAAATAATCTGATTTCACTTATTTTGATATTATCATCTTTTCAATCACGTGGTGCGTTATATCACATTGTGATTCATCATTATCGTTGTTCAGTGAAACTTTTCATTTGTTTTCATTGTTATTGAACTCGTTTTATAAAAAAATTAATTCTCAATACGGGTATTTCAAACGGTTGTGTATTTGTGAAAATGCTTGGAAAGTGTCATTATGAATGATCATCTCTGCTAGAGAATATTTGCTATCTAAGCAATTTTCACGAGAATAGCAAACGTTTGATCTGAATGAATTGATTATAATGCAAAAGACACTCATCTTGTATTCTACGCATGGAGTTGTATGGCTGCTTCACGTTTGAATTCAGTTCTTTATAGTGTTGTTGATGGTCTTAGATTGATCATATTGTTTGCATTGTTCATTCTCGTTTTAGATTATTTCCTTCTTGCATTTGTTCACTCCGAAGAGTCAGTTGAGGGGATATAAAAGGGTCGTTCACTACATGGCACTACCACCCGAACATTTCGCAGAACGAAACAAAATCAAAGCGTCTGAAAAAGAGAGGAGAAATTATCGGAGAGAGTACTTTTCTAGCAGCCATTAAGCAGGAACTCCTTCTTTAGTGCTTTAGAATCTTTTCAATTCACCGAAACTATTTCTTGTCATCGCCTACCTGCAGCAACTGTTCGTTTGAATTTTTTTCCACTCAATTTGTTTCGTTCGAGAAGTTGTCTTTCTGGGTGCATTATTCATTCGATTCAGCCGATGCAATTGAAGAATATGGTGGAACTGAAAACGTTAAATTGCTATCAAATGTATAAATGTGCTGGTGTTATTTGTCATCGTTTTCTCCGACTCCTCTACCTTGATCATATCTGTTGATTCTATTCAGAATTGAATGAACTATTATACTTAATGATATCAGTTATTTTGCTCATATCATTCGAAAATAAACTCGTGCAATATTGGATCATTTTCGTTTCCAAAGAAAGCGATGTTTCAAAGAAGTTAAATTTAAATGTAAAAATCACTGGTTACTGTCGCGGTATCGATCGATTGCTGTAAGACAATGCTTCTTAACCTTGTTTTTCTCGCCCGCACTCCTTTAAGCATAACGTTTTGCGAAATCCAGCAAAACGCTATGCTTAGCACTTGGGATTCCCAAGCCGTCTCCAATCCAAGAACTAGTGAGGCCCAACGTTGCTTAACTTGACAGATCGGATGGGATGGTGTGTTTTCAACGTGGTATGGCCGTAAGCACTCATCTTTCTCTTGTGGCCATAAGCACCGGCACAAAAAAAGCAATTCGCACTTTCCTTCCACTGCAATCCACATTCCCACCAATTCAAAGGAAATGTTATTATTTTTAGAAAATATATTTATTATTTATTAAAATGTTATTAATGTTGTATTGCATAGTGTTCACACTGTCTTCAATTTGTCCTCTCTGCCTTTGCATGTTCTTGATTGATAAAAACCTCTGAACTGCTAGACAGATGTGATGAGCGATGCACGCGATGTTCTTCGTAATGTAAGCAGAGAGAAAAGTGATGTGAGAGAGCCTTCTCTCTCGGACTTTGAAAACATTTTACTAATTTCGAGCCAGGTGGGAGCACATCGACAGCAGTGCCAACTTTTCTTCACGACTGTGATTAGTCGCGACAAGCCCTCCCTTCCTTCAATGTGTATAAAAAACGAAATGCTGGAATAGTATCTGGCATGTCAAAGTGCATCTTAGTAGGTGGCTGCCATAAGGCATCTTACTAGGTGATGATAATCACACTAATTGTAAGTGATCATAGGGCGATGAATGCATACAGTGATAAGTGCACCACTCAATACACACAGTGATGCATATGCAGTGATGGTGATTAGTAGGAAGCGGTGAAGACTGCAAGTGTTTTATAAGTTCGATTGACTGTAATTATTCAAAGCGAATGCTCTCAGTGATCATTTTATGGCTATGAAATGCGTCATATCATCATTTTAGTGTCAAATATTTCCGTGAAGAAACTGTGCTCACGAAGCAGTGGAGCATGTAGTGCAATACTTTTAGCACATGCAAAGCACGCATATCATTCAGTTTGCAAGTGCATAACTTTGAAAAATGGTGCCTCATACATATTCTTCTTCTATACCCGTTATGAGATCAACATTTCACGAATTGAACCATTAGCAATTTTTCTGTCTCCATAACTTTGGAAAACCATAATGCCACCTCATTATCCGATGCTACAATACTGCAAATGAATAGCTCGTCATTCTACGAAAAAAACTAGTCTCAATAGATGAGCAACTCCTTGAGAGCGTATATAAATGCATTCGCCGGAGACATTCATTCATTAATTCATTCACATCAGATCGTTAAACATGGTCTTTCGACTGAACTCGTCTGCAACATTCGTTCTTCTGCTCGTTACTCTTATCGCTTGTGAGTCTCTAGTTGTATTCCTTGAATTTGTTCATTTGAACGCTCAATTGATCATACGGCCTGCATTTACCAGAATACATTGAAAATATTCAGAATATTCAGCAACTTTTGTTAAATTGATAAAGATTTGCATAACGTCACGTTGATCATTTCCTCGATATCAGACACTCTAAAGTTACTGCGACTGCAAGAGGTGATAAAAATCATCGTTCACAGCCGAATGTTCAATATTCCACCTCATCAAAGTAACATTTGCAGACAGCGAATCAAGCAATCCGACTGGCGGATGGGGCGGTTCATCAGGAGCCGGTTGGAGCAGTTCTCTGGATGGAAGCTTCGGTGGATCATCTGGAAGTGGCTGGGGAGCGAATCTTGCAAGCAGTGGAACTGGAAACAATAAAAAGATGCGATTCACGGGCTCCATATCTCCTCAATAATCGATCGCATGAAATCATTGGCGTTACGACATCAACGTTCAAGTGTTGTGAATCAGTATACGTTCTTCTAACGATAAATAAATTATAAACCTTTTGTTCTGCCAATAATTTACATTATCTGAACCATTAACATTCATATTCCAGCTAAATACATACCAGAAATGAAGATTGACATAATGAAAGTAAAAAGAACATTATTTTCGTATGAAAGTAATTGCATTTCATATAGTTGTGGTCTGACACGTCTGAGCATTAGTTCTGAAGAGCTCGACTGGACCACTTCTATCCGATGGAGTTCAGTTGGTGAGAAGAGAGACCCGAAGAAATTAGCGGTTCTAAGTAACAGCTGTAATAGGACGCATATGTTATTGTTTCATTCAGGAAACCATAAAAGGATATGATATTCTGCAAGTTATGGCAACTTCCCAAAAGAAAGAACAAAATTTTTGTAATTCATTTTGGTAATCGAAAACCTTATGGTCAGGAAGAATTAGCATGTTTGCAGAATTTAGCTGAAGAGTAAGTGTGATTTCTAGATAGTTTGATATTGCTGTTTATTATTAATCAATATGCACATGATATTTGTTTTATGGTATTGCAGGGAGTACGTGATAAGGTTTTATTTTTTGTACGCTGCGGGTGGAGTTCAATGCCTACATATGTGTAAAGTAAGCGAGCATGGACTTTAGCGTATATATTTTAAGAAAGGCTAGGACATACTTTAATGTTAGGTATTTTTTTACTAATGCTTTCTAATTATATATCGTAGAACTCAATGTGGTGGATGAGGGATACTGAGGAGTGCAACGAATCTAAACCATTGTTGTAGGGGTGCGAGGGAATCTTAAAATTTACCGGGGAATGCGGAAGCGGGGAAGGTTGAAAACTGGCGTAAGTGGCAAGCATCGCGTAGAAAAGACGGCGATTACAAACGTTTCAATAGGTAGTCAGAGAAGTGAGTGTTGACCAGGATGAATGTAATCAAGAAATGACTGTTCGGTCAATATTATCCGGAACCTTGTTTAGAGCTGTCATGGTCAGCCTCATTGGAGAATGACTAATTGAAATCAAACAGCGTATAGTGAGATGGATAAAGGAATCAATAAAACCAAAATTTACAACTCAATCATTGGCAATAAATGATAATTTTAAGAAGAATGGAAGAAAATTTCAATGAATGATGATTTTTTTCCATAGTTATCAGGCGTATTTAATGGGTGAACAAGAACACGGTTATTGTTGTGTTCGTTGAATGCCATCTAGCGGCTAGATTGGCACGAACTTGGAGGGTAAGGTGGATGTCGGTTATTTGGTTTTCTGTTTAATTGACAATCGTTTGATGGCATGCTGTTAGTCAAATACCTGGATTGGCCAGGCTATCAAATGTTTGTAACGTTGCTGGCCACAATGCTGGCGTTTTCGTGCGCATTGCTTTAACATCAATTTACGCCACCCCGCTGGCTAGGCGAGCAGGCCAACCGAACACAACCGAATAATCAAGAAATGACTTTCAAATGCTATTCACAGAAGTTTTCATGATTATTCTGATTTTGACTACTGTTCATTTCCTCGGCTTTCAATTCCCACGATTCAAACCCTCGTTGGACGCATAATATTTGATCATTTACAAGTAAATTCAATCACTCCACCTCATTAAAGCAAACAAAAACTGGGGGAATGTTTTGAATTTCAGAGTGAAGCAATTCTGGCAAAATAATATTATTCGATGGGTTTCGGAAAACGGCCTATCAATGAAAAATGTTAGTGCTACTAACTTGTTGTGAATTCATTTAGTAGCGGATAATGATGGCTAATGACAAGGCGAGGGAAGAAGCTCGATGTCAACGTAGACTGTTCGATCTACATACAGTTACTCTCAACACAAATTGTCCGGTTCAGAAATGAAATGTTATAAAAATTTCGCTGTTATTTTCCACGTTCCGCAAAACGCTCCGCAAGAGCGTCTAAACGTTTCATCTCTTGAAGCACCGCACTGAAGCATTGTCTTTCAGTACCCGCTATCGGTTCGTCAAGGCGTCGTAACGGGCGTTCACCGCGAAAAATGGGATGTCCAATCCCTCTACCTTCTGGTTGCTTGAAAGGTAATGTTCTTTTTTTAGCATGACTTGATCATCACTCAGTTAATGATCAATAGGAATGATTATGGTAGCGTTACGCCCATGTTTATCGATGTGCAGATTTTCGTTGAAGACGACTCTGTATCAGACTAAAATTTAGAAATCAGAAAACACTGCGAACTGAAGAGAGTCCATATTGAGAAGTTAAGAATTTGAGTAGGTGTGATTGCAGTACGATATATTGTAGTCATTATTTAGGCTTGTCATAATCAATATTATGAAATGGTGATGACCTTCCAGGTTGTCCAGTACCAAAAACGGCAGAAGAGGGTGGTGTCAAAATGGAGTGCACGAATGCGCAATGTCCATTCAAGGAACAACCAGTGCACCGCGAATGTTTTGAAGCACTAGAAGACAATCTTGTAAAAATTATCAGCAATATTGGTCAGCGACTGCTCATCTTCAGACCTAATTTGATCTGCTTCCGACCTGATGAATCTTCGCAGTCGATGTCATCATGCTCACTACGCACTCACACGAACAATTCATTTCCATCATTTGGCGTTATCAGTCATAATTTATCATGAATATTCACGAATAAGAAAGATGATTAGAAACTAAATGTGAAGAAAATCATGAATCAAAAGGCAGGAGAGCGATCTCAAATTTCGATGTATCCAAAAGAAGCAGTGGGTTGAACCAAACAGATTAACAGCATGATTTATTCGAGTAGAATCGCATATGCTAACTTCGGCATTGTATTATACATGATCATTGACTTGCATTTCGAAGGGTGATTAACAAATTCACTTACTGAAGGATCGGCACGAGGTTGGACGGTTAAACAACGACGCGCGAACTTGTGGGATAAGAAGGGACTAATATTGATACAGAAAAAATGTAGGTGCCGTTGTGGAATTGGTCTTTTACGTTTCGATGAAACAATTATGTTCTTAGGTAAATGGTCAACATATCTGCTGCATATGTTCTTCATTCGAATTATTTGTGCTGTTCACTGATTGAAACATCTGAGAAATTGTTTCATTTGATGTTCACATACATTCTTCAAAACATTATCGACCTGCTAATGTGATTAGAGTTACAATGAGTTAAATTCGCAACGAATTCACATCGGAGAAAGTCAGCATGAAGAGTCCAAATTCAACCGAAGCACTTTAAAAATGATTTGACGAAAATATTCTGTTCATGCGATCAATTCTTTGCGATTCCTAGAAGTTATCTTGAACTGAATGGCTTCACTGCATATTGGTGGTCATGTATGTTTTCATTTTTTAGCAAAACAAGCTCTCGCGCCTAAAGTACCGCCAGTTTCGAAAGGCAAGAAAGGAA